TGATATAGGTTCAGCAAGCTCTATCGAGGGAGAGTCTCCTGAGAAGTTAGGCCTGTTCTGGCCGCACATCTTTGGGTCTAGGTCTTGCCTATCTTGCAATCGGTGAGAAGGGTAACGTGAAGATTAGAAACAGAGTTTATACTTCATGATTAATTTTTTAAAAAACTAGGGTGGAATAAATGCTCCCCTGAGACGCACAGGTGAGACTGGGCTTCTCCCCCATGTGGAAGAGCAGAGCTCTGCCCACAGCCCTGAGCATGTGTAAGCTTCTGAAAGAAGGCTGGATAGCCACCAGTCAGGCACACTGCCAAGGCAATTACACTGCTGGTAGGGCTTCAACTGACGTCACTCTGGCCACTCATCCACTTGGCAAGCATTTATTGACCAGTGTCACCAGGCACTATTTGTGGTGACTGGCAGCAGGAACTGAAGTATTATTCCAGCGACTTGCCTTCAAGAGACTCACAGCGCTAATCTCTTGCCATAATATAATCTCTTTGATGACATTGATAGTCTAAGGCACAATGATTCTTGAGGAGCCCCAGCAGACGTTTCTTTAGGCTGTGTTTCTAGTCACTGCTCTCTGTTTTGACTACCAAACACTGACTCACCCTCAGTGAGTTGTTGCAGTTACCACATTGTTTAGTTGTGGGCTTCCCAGTGGAACCACTACCTTCCTGCTCACCCTTCTTCAGAGACCAAAATGGAAGGGTGAAGTAAGAAGCCAATGACCCAACTGCCCAGTCTATGTGTGAAATCCTAAGTGAAGGGACTGTAACCCACTTCCCCTTCTGCACATGGCGATGTGACTTTCTTTATTCTCATGAATCACCCTTGTCACCCTTGTCATATTAGTCACTCACTTTTCAGAAATCCAGAAAATGAATTCTTGGGGATGGGGTAGGGGTACAAGGCTGAATGTCCTATCATGAGGTCAGTCCCTGGGGGGACAATCTGTCAGACAAATGAATGCTCCAGATTACTGAGACGTAGCTCTTTCACCAGATAACACAGTAGAACGATAGCTGCTTCTATTTATTAACAAAATGATTTATCACACAAATGATGCATGTTCTTCAGAGGAAAATTAGCAACACAGATGAGCAGAGCCAACAAAAGATAAATGAATCACCTTAAATCCACCATCCAGAAACTATAACCGTTAAGACATTGACGTGGTTCCTTTTCAAATGTGTTTCTGGGCATACAGTGTGTGTTTGTTAGAGTGTGTCGGTATAATAATATAACCACACCGTAAGACTTTACTATGACATGTTTGCTCATTTAAAAGATGTGAATGTCTTTCTATGTCAATGCATTTCTATGATCAATTTTAAAGCTGCCTAGTACCTTACTGGAGTCCCTGAGTAGTACAAACGATTAAGCACTTGGCTGGGATATGAAAGACTGGCTGTCTGAGTTCACCCAGAGGTGCCTTGGAAGAAAGGCCTAGTGATCTACTTCTGAAAGATCAGCCATTGAAAACCCTACAGAACACAGTTCTACTCTGACACAGATGAGGTCACCATGAGTCAAGATCTACTCAGCTGCAAACTGTCTGGTTTTGGTTAGCACTTGACTAACATGAGTGTAAATTTTTCTAGGACAATAACTTGCAAAAAAAGCTGTCTAAAATGTGTTACATACTTTCCTGCCTTCTTCCCCACAAACTTTGCCAGTCGGAGTCTAAGAAAAGACCCACACTCATTCTGGGTGCCTCAGACTCACCTTTGTTCAATAAGCCCTGCTGGTGAAGCTTCAGTAAGGAGGCAGTTGGGTAGAGAGCAAAGAGCTTTGAGTTAGGAGTCAGCTTAGCTATGGGAAACATGCAGAACTGCTCCGGGCCTTGTTTTCCCCATTTTATAAAAGGAAGGCTGTTATCCAGGCCTCCCTATTCCCTGCTCCAATCTGCACCTACATCTGCCTTCACCTCTTCTTTCTCCTTCCCAATCATGCACCAGCTGACAATGGTGCAGGGAGACCTTCCTTTCGGGCCTCCATCCTGGCCAGTCCTCATTTGTAGTTCTAATCTCCTGGGAGGTGGAAGGATTCTGTCCAAATCAAGAAGGGACCAAATAAAACCAAACAAACCTGTTGCCGTCAAGTCCATTCTGACTCCCAGCGACCCTACAGGACAGAGTAGAACTGCCCCATAGGGTTTCCAAGGAGCAGCTGGTGGATTCAAACGGCCAACCTTTTGGTTAATAGCCAAGCTCTTAACCACTGCACCACCAAGGCTCCCAAGAAAGGACAGTGATACACAAAGCTCATTTTTCCCATCATAAAATGGGCCCAATGAGACTGACCTCCTCTACCGGGTTGTGTGAATGTGAAGCATCTCAGGTAAGTCACAGGTGGGGCTGTTCTTTGCTATGTAGCCCCTTTGTACACCTGTGCAGGAACAGCCCACATGAGTGACTGCCCTTTGTTAAAAGTAACGAAAACTCAAGAAAACTTGAAAGTAAGTTCATTCTGAGCAGTTATTCTATATGCATATAGGGAGGTCATTTTGATTCCAGAAAAAGTAAATGGCTGGAAGAAGCTAAGTACAATGAGTTTATAAAGAGAAGACGAGGGAGAAGTGTAGAAGATCAACCACTGGCTAATCTTAATAGGATTGTTTGAACCCTGCCTTCTCCTTTTACTGAGATAACTGATATCAGGTCACAAGGTGGCCTCTGCCCCTTCACTCAGCCATATCTTTTGAAATTCAAATTCAGCAAGCCAGGCTTTGAACAGGAAAGAAAAGACTAGCAACTTTGGGTGAAAGAAAAGCCGCTGGCAGGATCAATCCTGGTCAGGAACTTCTTTACAGTGAACATTGGTTTCATGAGTAAGAAAACCCCAAAATCAAAGCAAGATGTCTGCTGTCAATTTCTCTCTTTGACACCTTGAAGAGAGAGACAGTGGACACACCTCAGAATCACACCCATGCTCTGCTCAAGGTGCGGCCAGAGCTGCTTTGTCCAGGCGCATACTAAGGGTGCAGGTACCTGCCCCACCCTCAGGTCCAGAATCAGAACCTTTGGGGTGGAGCCCCAAGGACACGTTTTGAACAAACACCCCTACAGTTGAGAACCACCACTGCCCAAGGGAACAGATGGGAGTTTCGCTTATTGCTTAATTCTTAAGTTATTTCTCTGAAAGGTGTGGAAATGTTTCACACTGGGAAGTCCCTTTAACTGTTGATTATTTGCTGGAAGCTTGGCCTAAGGTAAGAGGGGGCAAGGAGGGAGAGAGAGAAGACTAGAATTAATCGTTTTCTCCCAACTTTCCACTTAAAATTCTTCCTTTAAACTTCTATTTGCACTTCGAAAAAAAAAAAAATAATTGCCATCCAGTCAATTCCGACTCATAGTGCCTCTACAGGACAGACTAGAACTGCCCCATAGAGTTTCCAAGGGGTGCCTGGTGGATTCGATCTGCTGACCTTTTTGTTAGCAGCCATAGCTCTTAACCACTAAGCCGCCAGGGTTTCCTTACACTTTGAAGATTGGCCTCCTTGCTTTTCTTTTTAGAATATGCCTTTCCTACCCATACTCACTGACTCTAACCCCCCTTTTTCCCCCTAGGCCAGATTAATCTCAGGTCCTGACCACCAGAAACTGCCAGCCCCCAGGCCTTTCATTACACAAGGGCTAGACAGCATCTTCAGAGAAAAGACAGGAAGAATGGCTCTGATCGTTGGAGGTGGAGAATGGCTCTGATTGTGTGGGGTGGAGGTTAGAGGTTACCCAGATCCTGTGAGAGATTTGTATATCTGTGTGGTCTAAATGGACAAATTCATTTAGATTACATTGGTCTCATCTTGGCTCTGGCCAGAGGTGACTTGGCTCAGATAAGGAGTCTTCTGGGTCATTTGGCTTCTAAGAAGCTAGTTGAATTGCAGAGATTCAGCCTGATTTTCCAAGACAATACTCTACTCTAATGCTTCCTTGAGATATTGGGAAAATAAATAAATGACATCAATTAATATTTATTAAACATTTGTTAAGAAGAGCCCTGGTGTTGCAGTGGTTAAGCACTTGGCTTCTAACCAAAAGGTCAGCATTTCAAACCCACCAGCCGCTCCGCAGGAGGAAGATGTGGCAGTCCACTTCCGAAAAGATTTACAGCCTTGGAAACCCTTTGGGGCAGTTCTGCTCTGACCTATAGGGTCGCTATCAGTTGGAGTTGACTGGACAGTAATGGGTTTTTTGAGTTTAAGCATTTGTTAAAAATTTTTTAAATGCCAGTTACTGTAATGAGTGGTCATGTATTAGAATGAATAAATGATTAACTCTTTACAGATGAACTTTATTACTCTTCAGAGAATTTAAGACGTAATTCAAATTATTCTTATGAAATTTAATCAATTTTATGAACGTCATTTTATTGCATAGTTGAACAGCTAAAACAGTAATTACTTATTCATCATTTACTGTTATGGACTGAATTGTGCCTTCCAGAAAGATATTTTGATGTTCCAACACCTGTACCTGTGAATGTGATCCTGTTTGGAAACAGGGTCTTTATAGATGTTATCAGGTTAACATGAGGTCATACTGGAGCAGGTGGGTCCTAATTCTATATACCTGATGACCTTATAAAAAAGGAGAAAAACCACAGAGACAGGGAGACAGCCAAGGAACACCTGGAGTCACAGAAGCTCGGAGAGAGGCATGGAACAGATTCTCCCTCAGAGTCTCCAAGAGAATCAACACGCTAACACCCTGATCCTGGATTCCCTGCCTCCAGAACATGAGACAATTTCTGTTCTTGTAAGCCACCCGTTTGTGGTATTTTCTACGGCAGTCCTAGGAACTGGTACACTTTAAAAAGGTCTATTTTTCGTAAGTTTATTTTCCACCTAGATCAAACCTCCTCGTCTCTACAAAAGCTATTTTCATGGAAATCTTTCACACACAAATTGCATGTTTTTCTGCCTTCTTAAATGAGGTGTTCTGAATTTGATTCTAGTTTCATTTTACTTGTTTTATATTGTACTGTTTTGTAGGGGTGGGCGAAACTCTCATGAACAACGGCACTTGTTTGTCCCTCTCGGAACACATGGTACACGTCTCTGCTCTACTGGTCCTCGTCTGCCTACCCAAACCCACCCACTCGCTCCACCTCCACCCTCACCATTGGCTGTGCTGCCACCATCTCAAGCATGCTCTACTTTGTGGCTCAGTGGTTAAGCGCTTGACTGCTAAACAAAAGGTCAGTGGTTCGAACCCTTCAGTTGTTCCTTGGGAAAAAGATGGTGGCAGTCTACTTCCGTAAAGATTTACAGCCTTGGAAACCACATGGAGAAGTTCAACCCTATCCTATAAGGTTGCTATGAGTCAGAATCGACTCAACGGCAATGAGAAGGAGCCCTGGTGGTGCACAGCTAAGTGCTCAGCTGCTAAACAAAAGGTTGGCAGCTCGAACCCACTCAGAGGCTCTGTGGAAGAAAAACCTAGCGATCTGCTCCCGTAAAGATTACAGCCTAGAAAACCCTATGGGACAGTTTTACTCTGCCACATGGGGTTGTTATGAGTCAAAATCAACTCAAAGACACACAGCAACAACAACCACAAGTGGCCTTCTAAGTGACCTCCCATTGCCTCCACCTCCAACCTCTTCCCCACAACATTTCATCTTCCTGATTATTGTTGTTGCTGTTAGTGTCATCAAGCCAGTTCCGACTCATTGCAACCCTACCTATCACAGAACGAAACACCGCCTGGTCCTGCACCATCCTCACAATTGTTGCTATGTTTGAGCCCATTGTTGCAGCCACTGTGTCAATCCATCTCATCGAGCGTCTTCCTCTTTTTTGCTGACCCTCTACTTTACCAAGCATGATGTCCTTCTCCAGGGACTGGTCCCTCCTGATAACTTGTCCAAAGTACGTGAGAGAAAGTCTCACCATCCTTGCCTCTAAGGAGTATTCTGGCTGTATTTCTTACAAGACAGATTTGTTCATTCTTCTGGCAGTCCATGGTCTATTCAATATTCTTCGACAGCACCATAATTCAAAGACGTCAATTCTTTGTCTTCCCTACTCATTGTCCAGCTTTCACATGCATATGAAGCGATTGAAAACACCATGGCTTGGGTCAGGCGCACCTCAGTCCTTAAAGTGACATCTTTGCTTTTAAACACTTTCAAGAGGTCTTTTGCAGCAGATTTGCCCAGTGCAATACATCATTTGATTTCTTGACTGCTGCTTCTATGAGTGTTGATTGTGGTTCCAAGCAAAATGAAACCCTTGACAACTTCAATCTTTTCCCCATTTATGTTGAGGTGTAATCCATACTGAAGGCTGTGGTCTTCGATCTTCATCAGTAAGTGCTTCAAGTCCTCTTTACTTTCAGCAAGCAATGTTGTATCATTTGCATCTCGCAAGTTGTTAATGAGTTTTCCTCCAATCCTAATGCCAAATTCTTTTTCATATAGTCCAGCTTCTTGGGTTATTTGCTCAGCATTTTGCTTGAATAAGTATGGTGAAAAGATATAATCCTCACACACGCTTTTTCTGACTTTAAACCACGCAGTATCCCCTTGTTCTGTTAGAACGACTGCCTCTTGGTCTATGTACAGGTTCCACATGAGCACAATTAAGTGTTCTGGAATTCCCATTTTTCCCACTGTTATTCATAATTTGTTATGATCCACACAGTTGAATGCCTTTGCATAGTCAATAAAACACAGGTAAACATCCTTCTGGTATTATCTATTTTCAGCCAAGATTCATCTGACATCAGCAATGATATCCCTTGTTCCACGTCCTCTTCTTAATCTGGCCTGAATTCCTGGCAGTTCTCTTTTGATGTAGTGCTGCAACCTGATTAACACCCTGCAGTTACTCTGTGAACACTGATAATAAATAAATATATGAAGCTCAACTCCGTTTAAAGTTTACACAGCCCAATTACTGGTCCTCTGCCTGAGTGGCCCTCCCCTGGTTCCCTCCTCTACCATCACTCACCAGGCTGCCACCTCCTGGGGGCTTTTCCCCTTTATTTGAACACATTGAGACTTTGCACAGGCTAGTCTCTCCACCTGTGCTTCCCTTTCCTTCTAACTCTCCTTGGTGGTTCTGTTTCATCATTCAGATGTTAGCTGAAGGTGCTTCCCCAAAGAGATCCCTGAGCCTCCTCACCCTCATCTGAAGCAAGCACTTAGCTGCGTTATTTCTGTAGTTTTCTGCAGAGCACTTACCTGGCACACTGTCTGACTCCATGGCCCATGCAGGACTGCCACTTACAGTCTGACTGCCCAGACTGAGCGCGTTGGTGTCCATCATTCCAACCAGTCAGCCAGCACTAGCATCCTATGTGCCTAGGAGAGCCACGCCCCGATCCCTGTGCTTTGTCTTTTGCTACCCATCATGGTGACCTTCTTTTGGGCTCCCTGCTAAGAGAATTCTGGGAACCATGGTTATAGCAGCACCCCTTCCTTGGAGCATCAGGGATAATTTACTTCCTGGCAGTGTTCTGAGGTGAGGTGATTTTAGCGCACCCTGAATGACAGGTCTCGTGGAGCCTTACGATGCTACCATGCATCTGAATCTCCAAGCCAGAATATTTGCCAGAATTTCTCTGGCAATTGATTCTTTTTTATCCCCCAGGACATCTCAAAGGACTTCTGCTCCTGTGGAGCAAACTCTGGTAATATTGTTTTGAGAACAAGAAATTATACTGGTGGATGGATTTCTGTGCTTCAAGTAGCATCTCTGTGCTGAAGCCTAAGGTAAGGGGAGGTGCTGAGACTGCCTCGATGTGGACCAGCCCAGTGATGCTTCCCTCTGGAATGCGACATCTTAGCCGTGGCAGATGCCTCTAATGTGGGAAGACACCAGCTCAACTTTCTGCCACAGCCCTATGGGAATGGCCTGTTCCCAGAACTGAGGCTCTGGAATCTGGCAGTGGTGGAGAGAACCATCAGTCTTCAACATGGCTCGTCTGCTTGAGTTAACTTCAAGCTACATGGGAACAGCAGGGCTTCCAGGTGGTTAAATGTGCTCAAGGGGTGAGTCAGGAGGTCTCTTCAGGTAAGTTCCCACATAAACCACACTGAAACACATAGGGCTTCCACAGAGAGAGGACGCTGGAAATATGATGGACATCAAATGAGAAAGATGAGAGATGAATCTGTCCAAGATGTGGAAGGAGAACCTGGAGGTGGACCTGCCCAGTCAGATCTCTCTTCACTCTCCTTCATCCCTGCAGCCAGGGCCAGATTCAACCAGAAGGAAGGGCGGCACAGCAGGTGAAAGAAAGGCTGATATTTCATTTTAAGGCAACGCCTCAAAGGTGTACATAGTTTCTCTCTTCTATGTGTCTGTCTATCTACCTCTCTATCTGTCTATCTATCTGTCTACTTACCTACCTATCATCTATCTTTCTTTTCTTCTGTCTCTGTCTCCCTCCTTACTTCTTTCCTTGAAAGGGGAGCTCCCTCATCCATCACTAACTTCTAAATAAAGAACCCCAAAGCTCTTAGATTTTTATTGCCTACTTTTGTTCTAGTTGAAATCATTCCTGCTCCTTATAAATCATGTACTTTCTATAAATTTGGAACTTGTATAACATCAAAACTTAGCTTTAGAAGTCATAAAAGAAAGATATTATACCAACAATAGATTTTTGTTTGTTCTTTTACCAGATAATAAACTCCTAAGGACATATGAAGCTTCCTGATGATTCAAAATAGTTTTATTTTGAGGTAAGGTTTTCCCACAAAGCACTCTGATGTTCCTGGTGTTATACTCTTCCCAAGGTCCTTTTTGTCTAGAACCCCTGTGTCTTTTCTTTGTTTCTGAAAATAAGCACCCAAGGCATCCCTCACATTGGCCTGAAGACTTATGCCACCATGCACTTGAGTTCACGAAGGTCAATGTACTTCCCGTGACGTGGCAGAATGCATCCTGCTCTCTGTAGCCACCATGTCATCAGAGTTTTCCTGATTGCTCAGCCCGGAGATGACTGCTTTTCCTGCTTCAGGGTTCACTTATGAAGATCAGGAGTGTCAACAATTAGGAAAAGAGCCTCCTTTTTAATTGATACATGCTTAAAATGAGTAATTCAAACAACGTGGAAAAGAATAAATCAGAAAGTGATATACTATACATCTCACTACCCAGAAGGACATTATCATTTAATCAAAAACCAGTTGCCATTGAGTCAATTCCAACTCATGGCGACCCCATGTGCACAGAGTAGAACTGTGCTCCACAGTGTTTTCAAGGCCGTAATCTTTCAGAGGTAGATTGCCAGGTTAGGAGCCTAGCACGTTATCTATTTGCACCACCAGGGGACTCCTATCATTTAACAGGTGACAGAAATGTGGAGCTTGTAAGTAGTGATACCCAAGGCACAAAAGGCCCTGATTGCCTTCAGAGTGGTCACATTTGATTGGCTTAACTTGCTCTCAGAAGCCTACAGAAATCACTACCACACAGAATGTCCAGGGGATGTGAACTTTGCCTTTTACTAATGTTTAAGCCACAGTCTAGGAAATAAAATGCTATTAAAAGAAAAACAGAGAGGAAAAAAACCATCACCCACTCATCCATTTGGCCAGCAAAAATCGATGGCCCCTCTGTGCTGCAGCTCTCAGGTCAGGTTGACCATGTAAGCAGGTATGTATCTCTGGTTCCTACCCTGAACGTCCCTGAGCTTCACTGTAGCATCCCTGGGAAGACCTTCTGCTGAACATCCTTTTGCCTTCATCTGTGTTCCCTAGGGGGACCTCTGCTGGCCTAAGCACCCCCGTCTCAAGGCCCCCTTGACAACCATCCATTCATTCTCTCAGCGACCCCCTCCCGCTTCTGGGAGCCAGATACTACATAGGAGCTGATTTGATGAACCTGGACCTTAATTCTTTCAGCAAGTTTTGCTACTTTCCCTAAGAAGTTGCATCAGGGAGTCCTTTTTGAGGCTGACCAGTCAAATCCAGCTCCATCACCTCTGGACTTGTTGGCCATACCAGAACTCAGCTGTCACCACAGAACTTCCCTGACGACCCTACCAAAACTTCAGCCCCATTCTCTTTAGCTTCTGCTTTCTCGCATTTTCCTTCATAGCACTTTCCTACCTGATCTTATAACACCTGTCTACCTGCATGATGGCTATCACCCCACTAGAAGGTAAACCCTGTGCAAGGAAGGATTTGGTCCATTTTTTTCATCATCCTTTCCCTAGAACATCCACGTGCACACTCCTTAAGTGTTCTTTGAAGGAGTGAGTGAGTGAATGAGTCGTTCTAGACAGGGCTGCCTCCGCCTTCTCCTGGCTCTCCTGAGCTGCTGTGCTGACTCCCAGGACTTGTAGGGTCCACAGCCTCAGGGGTGTTTGAACTGACCAACGCCAAGTGAATGCTTTTATCTTGTCCCCTGTTCCAAAGTGTTCCAGAAGGAGGTACTGGGAAGTGGGAAATGCTATGATCATTGGAACACAGGCATCAGGCCAGAAGTCATGGCCTCCACCCTCTGACTGCCTGGTTGTCGGCTAACTCATCCTTCAGGTCTCAGTCAGATTCTGTCCACCCATTCCAGTTTCCCACTGAGGGCAGACGTGACGCCTCTATTTCAACCCCTGCACCACATACCTCTGCTCCCCGTGCACTACTGTATACAGTCATGCACGTAGGCATCTACTCTCTCAGAGCCCCTTGCACCCCAAAGCACAGAGACATGTAAGCTTCGTCTTTGTACCTAGATGCCAGGATGACATGGGTGCTAGGCGAGAGTTTACAGAACTGCGCTGACGCAGTCCCCTGGGGGGGGGGGGGCGGTGCCTGGAGGGCGGGGTGAAAGGGAGGTGAGGAAGGGTGGTGGTGCCTCCACAGGTTTTTCAGCTTGTGCCTCCTTTTCTGAAGCTCGACTTCCCCCCAAAAGAGGACTTCGGTTTCACGTCGTGCCCACACTTCCCTCCGTGGGTGCTGTGAGGGCACCAGAACAGCATGACAGAACTGTCTTGGACTGGCTCAAAGGCACCAAGCTGGGTGCTGAGTAGCCAGAGAGGCTCAGTGGCCAGATGCGCCCAGGGACACCACCACAGCTGAGACCACGCATGCTGTGACGTTCAACTGAGGTGACACCCTGGCTGTCTCCTGGAAGCTGCCCTGGTGGGGAGGGAAAGCCAGGCCAGCCGCTGGTTCCCGGCACATCTGCACCTGCGGACAGCTCCCTACTTGAACTAATAGCGTTAGCTCATCCGGTTTATGTCATAATGTCTCATGCCTCCCAGCTGAACAATTTTTTAAATGCGGTTTTGATATTTTCCTTTCAAATAAGAATCCTGTAATCTCCTAGTTACATTCTGAACACCTTGGAAATCACTACATTGATTCTTTCCTCTTTTCTGGCTGGGGTTCAGAAGAAATCACTTACAGCTGATAAAAAGCAAGTAATATTTAAAGGGCAAAGGTAAACACTAAAAGAATATTTTAAAATAACATACTAAACTACCATTGGGTAATAGAGGAGAGTAGAAAAAGAGGCAGTGCTGACAGTGAATCAATAAATTGTGCCTAAATCAAGTCTACATCACCTCATATAATGTTACAGTTATAAAAGTAACAGCAAGAGGAACTAAAAATAAAATTCAAAACTTTCATATAATCACAAGGCACATAGACACCTAAAACAAACAAACCATAAAGTACAAATTAGGCAATAAAAGGGCACAAAATAGAAAATATGAGATCACAACTAAGATTAATCGCTCCAGAACTGGACCCAGAGAGATGGAGCACTTAAATGTAAAATACAAACACCCTAGAAGTTAAATCATAAAACTACCAGAAGGGAACACGGGAGAAGTAGAAAAATAAATAATTTTGGAGTGAAGAAGAATGAACAAAGCACAAGAGGTCATACAACAAAAGACTAACATGTATCTCTATATAAATACAGACAACCCATATGTTAGAAAACAGAAGCTTAAAGAACATTTTAAAAGAATGACCAAATGTGAAATATATTTACATCACATGTCAAATTCAAAGAGGGAGTTTCTTTAATTTATAAAGAGCTCCTATAAATCAATATTAAGAGACCAACAGCCCCATAGCCAAATGGACAAATAATAGAAATGGAAACAGAAAAGCAATTACCTCTTAACTAGTTGCCAGGGAGTCAACACTGCCTCATAGTGACCCCGTGTGTGCAGAGTAGAAGCATGCTGCACAGGTTTTCAATAGCCAATTTTTTGGAAGTAGATCACCAGACCTTTATTTCAAGGTACCTCTGGGTGGACTTGAACCTCTGACCTTTTGGTTAGCAGCTGGGCAAGTTAACTGTTTGTACCACTCAGAGACTCTCAAACACAGGAAAAGATGAGAAAAACGTCATTAAAACTACAATCAGAAGCTCCAGTTTCCCCTTGCGGGTGAGGAAACACCAGTAAGCTACATCATGAGGGTGAAGATGAGCAGAAAGAGCTGGGGGCCTTGCAAACCACCACTGTCAACAATGGACACTAGATGACCAAATAAAAAAGGCTAGTACCACTGGCCCAGCAAGTCCACATCTAGCATGTGTCCTGTGCGTGTCCACACACGTACTAGGTTTATATGGCGATGTTCGTGGCAGCATGTTTATTATACTAGCAAACCCTTTGGTGCAGTGGTTAAGAGCTACAGCTGCTAACCAAAAGATCAGCAGTCTGAATCCACCATCTGCTTCTTGGAAACCCTATGGGGCAGTTCTACTTTGTCCTGTAGGCTCGCTATGAGTTGGAATCAACTTGGCAGCAATGGGTTTTTTGGTCCAATGAAAGGGCTCAAGAGCTAAGTCAATAGTAGTGCCTCTACCTATGGAAGCTTCAGTCCATAGCATCAAAAGAACAAGGTAGCCCTGCATTTTTGCTCAGTGAGAAAACCCAAGTGTGCAGTGGTGTGTACAGTATGCTACCATCTGTGCAAAAGTCACAGAGAAAATCATTTGTGCTTATACATGTGCACACAAGAAACTAAGGACAGTCATTGTGGCTGAGGAGAGGTGCTTTTAAAATTCCAAACACCACTTGACTAATTCTTTTTAAGACTCCTGCAGTGGGAAGTGTCTAACACAGCTGTGCACCCAACAATCTTGTTTTCTGGCTCACTCTCATTTCAAATATCCTGCCAGATGCTATGTCAGTATGCTCGTCATTGACAAAACATGTGTCTTGCTTTCTGGTTTATAAAATAAGATTAACAGAGAGTGGGCCTGTCAGCACCAAGTGATGTATAAACAGTAGCCTGAATTTTACTGCTTGAGAAGGTACGCTTGCCGCAGGCATGCTAAGAACACACTCCTTGGCGTTTCCCCATGTGTCTCAGGGCTTCATGGATCTCCTCCCCTTAGCTGGACTTGTTATTACTGTTAGCTGCCATCCAGCCAAGCCCCAACTCATGGCCACACCATGCACAATGGAATAAAACACTGCTCAGTCCTGTGCCATCCCCATGACAGGTTGCAGATTGGACCATTGTGATCATGGGGTTTTCACTGGCTGATTTTTGGAAGCAGATCATCAGACCTTTCTTACTTGTCTGTCTTAGTCTGGAAGCTCCACTGAAACCTGTTCAGCATCATACCAACACCCAGGTCTCCACTGACAAATGAGTGGTGGCTGCACATGAGGTGCCTTGACTGGGAATTGAATGCAGGGTTTTTGCATGGAAGGCGGAAATTTTACCACTGAGCCACCACTACCCCCTAACTTGACTTAGGTACCCCTATTTTGTCCTGGACGGGGGGCAGCATTTGACTTCAGCATTTGGACATCCTTGAGCAAACAGCTTTGAGAGAATAAGTAACGTCAGTAGTCAGGCCTTTTACCCATTAAAGTCAGTTTACTCTCAGGAAATGGAAGTGGAACTTCAACACAGATGTCTCAAGTGCCATCTCTGTTTCTATAGTAGCTCAGCCCACTCTTCACATGGGATGGGGGAGCACTGGACGTAAATCTCAACTGAGTAGTTCTGAAGAGTTTCAGAAACTCAAAAACTTTCCAGTGATGAATGGATGGGCAGGTTGGAGACTCAAGGTGAGCCACTTTTGTCTAGATGTGTCTGCAGCAGCTAGAAGTTTTCACCACATTGGTGGGTGTCTTAGTTGTCTAGTGCTGCTGTAACAAATACCACAAGTGGGGTGGCTTTAACAAAAAGAAATTTATTTTCTCACAGTTTAGAAGGCTAGAAGTTCAAATTCAAGGTGCCAGCTCTTGAAGGCTTTCTCTGTTGCCTCTAGAGGAAGGTTCTTGTCTCTTTTGAGCTTCTGCTCCTGGGTGATCTTCATGTAGTTTGGCATCTCTCTTCCTCCATCTCTGCTTCTACAATTATAGTTTTCACAATCACAATTAACCCTGTTAACAAGCAACACTCACAACTGAATCATATGATTCTATCAGTGTCTTCCCCCCACCCTCTCCTCCCCAGACCCATCAAGAAAAGAGAAATCTATTCAGTGGGCATCCTCCCTTGTCCCCCTCATTTTGAGTGTAAGCACACTTATAAAAGCGTGTAAGCCAGCCACTTCATGCCTTTATCTCCCACCGTTTTAGATAGCCAATTTCTAAATTGCCCA